TAATAATAATAATAATAATAATAACAATAATAATAATAATAATAATAATAATTAACAATAATAATTAATAATAATAATAATAATAATAATAATAAATTAATAATAATAAAATATAGAATCACGTAGCAAATAAAATCACTGTAATATTTCATAATATTTTATAGGGTAATATTAGACGTCACGTGAATCAGTGCATGAAATCCGTACGTAATGGTAGCAAACTGAGGCGAAAAGGTATTTTTGAGCAAAATTACACAAGATAAGCATCCGATATAAATTACCAACAATCTTTTCATTGATGATGAAAGAACAGAATGAAAAATATTTTGCTTTTATTGAAAATTACTGTTATTGATTTAAAAAAGAAACACAAAAAAACAAAAAAAAACGTAAAAAAATCAATTATTTAAATAAGAAAAAAGGTTTAATGGTTTTTTCTCTTAGCAAAATTTTTTAAATTTTATCAGCAAATTTTTTTCGTTCTTCGAGAGAAGGCGCAAATGGTTTTTTCTTTGTTTTTTTTTTTCTTTTTCAGATGCCGCCTTAAAACAGTTTACTTCTGATAAATTTCAATTTGATGATCGACGTAATCAATCAATGACATTTTCGGATATTTATCAACCAAATGTGCTAGAAACATCAGTAGGTGAAAAAACTACATGGATGGATAATTGTGATGACATTTTAATGGGACATCATTCAATAGCTAAGACAAAATCATATAATGTGAAAAAAGATCGTAGTAATGATGATCCATTTCGATGTCCGTTGTGTGATTTTGCTACCATTTATAAGGTTTGTTTTTCAATGATAACAAATGATAATATGAAAAAACAGAACGGTGAGAAAAAGGAGAAAATTCTGAGAGAATATAATCCGAAAAAAAAAGAAGGTATCTAGATGAAGTAAATCTATGTGTCGATTTATAACAAATATTAAGTATTCCTTCTTTAGGACGAATATATGTAACAGTATGAAGGGTTTAAAGTTAATTTTCAAAGTAAACTTAAAGATAGGTATTTAGTTTAGGTTTTAAGATAATTATGTATATCTACTAATGTCTTGATATTGGCTTAATGTTTAAACATTTTAATTATAGTTAAAGTTTTTCATTTTATATATGTAAGGGCTTGTTAATATGTAGTTTGTTATTTCATTGGTAATGCTAACAGTTCGATTTAATCATTGCATTGCTTACTTTTAAAATTTTATTTTCATAATTTAGTAGAGAGCATAGTACAGTAAAAAAGATAAAGTGAATGTTGTAATCGCATCCAAAATTCAACGTCGATAACTTTTCTTTTTATTCTTGACAGGGCAATATGAAAAGACATTTGAGTACCTGTCATGGATTACAAGATGATGATCTTAAAGATGGTTGTATCGATAAATTGAAATGTAAGGCAACAATCGATTCACGTTTGGAAAATATGTCACGTAACAAACGTCCCAAAAATTTGCAAGTTTGTTAAAATAAAAATTTCCTTTCTTTTTGCATAAAAAATTTCGTTTATTTATTTGTTTCCAGCAATTCTTTCCTAATGGTTTTCTTTTTTTTTTTCTTTTTTAAATGTCATCTGTAAATATATATTTCATATCATTATAAATAACTAAATTTAAATATTGTCTTTTTGTTGTCTTATGAAATTAGACTGAAAGTTTTATAAGATTCAAACGTTATTGTTTTGATTTCAACAACATATGATTGCATTTATACTGTGTTATCTTAAAAAAAACTCCGCGATTATGATGATTGTAATGATTATTCATAATTCATTGTTATTGTTTTCGACTTCTTCGAAATCATTTAATTTTATTTCAAAATAAAAGACTTTTGAAACTGAAATTTTCAAATTTCAGCAACTTAAAGTTAAAGTTACAACAAAATTAACCCAAATGGATGTTGATAATGGTCCTAGTTCTTCCATCATTGATTATAGTTCAGTGAAGAAAGATTTCGAGGTATCAATGGCGACTGTCACATCTTCAACTTCTCAAACTCTTTTTTCTAATAACCGGTAAATTTCTTTAATTTGTAATTAGTTCCGCATTTAAAATATTAAATTTTTGAAAAATTTGTATTGGGCTAAATATTAAATAATTATTTAATCCATCCATAGACTTCTATGTGCATGTAATATTATAGCAAATAATATTTTAGCGAAGAAGAAGAACTACCCTTATCAGTGATAAATTCATCTGACCATAACATTGCCACAGATGTTGGACCGGAAGAGTCATTAGAAATGGTTGAAACATCATCAGATGATAGTACCAGTCAACTTCTAAGGTTGAACACAATCGATGAAACCATTGAAGCTGTTATAGCAAATGGAAATGAAAATTGTATAAATGAAATGGGTGCAAATATTAATAATAGTAG